CGTTAACTATAGTCACCATGTTAAAGCATACACGTTAAAGTATTGGTTTTTTCACCTTCATGTCCTGATACATGATGTATTCACATGATTCTTCTAAGTCAGCAGTGTTTTTATCACCACTAGAACCATGTCTTTGATTCACCAGAGCACATGATCCCCACTTCGATCCAAGTCGTTTGAAGTACAGCACTTTTTAACTAAATCTCCCTCTGCGTGGGGCTCTGGTCCAGTTTCCATTTACAAAATACAAAGGTGGGAAGGGTTTCCACTCCTCAGGTGCTCGGTCTCCACCAAGTAACAGCTCACTGTACCCCACACACTGGGAGGTGATGCTCTAAGACGCCATCACTCCCTTTCTCACCAATTTGCCTGGGGAAGGGCATGGGTATCCTTCGTAGTCACTGAGGAGTCACCCCGTGATATGGGAGACTTTGGGGAAATTCAGATACTGGGCAATTCCTTCTTTGCAAAAGAGTGCCTTTGGGAAAACAAAACTTGCCTTTCGTCAGGCGTATGTGATATTTTAGAAACCCTTCCCATTTTTAGAAGACGATTCATTTTGTTGCCTTTCAAGGAGAGCCACTCCTCGTTCAGCAGGGAGCTACTACTCACATGTTCTTTGAAAAGGGTACATCGTGGATGATTGAATTTTGTGACGGCCCTTAAAGACAGGTCACCTGGAGCCAGCTGACAAGTGTACGGTGATGGTGCAAGTGGTCCTTGTGGTTCAGGCAGGTCCAGGGATGTGTGTGGGATGAGGGAATCTGTGTGGAATGAGTTTGGCTAAATTCTTCCGTTCTGTGCCTTTCTGGAGGAAAAGAAATAAATTTGCTGCTAAAGTTTGGGTTAGAAAATACAAATGAGGAACATGTGCTTTTTTAAATCCAACTTTATCTTCCTTACAAATGCTGCGGGTTCTTGGAATGCTTGTCCGATAAGCAGCCCTTGGTCGGGTCTTGCTGTTTCTGTGCTCACACGATTCCCGAAGCATCAGGCTTATTTTTATTTTGAGGCGCGTCGGCACTTTTCTGCATCTCTGTTCCTCTTGTTACTGAACATGAGGTGTACCTCCGTCTGTCCATCTGGACTTGTGCACAGTCTGAGATCTCTGGAGATGAGTTCATCTTCTTTATGGATGAGGAAACACACTGAACAGTGTTTGTCACTGGACAGAATCCGGGTTTGGGCAGCCGTCCCGTGTTCTGGCTTTCTGCCAGGACTCAGAAGACAGTGACACTCACTCATGAGACTTTGGGTGCCTCTTGAGTTTGGGGGCTTTCGTTTTCTTTTCTCAGAAATGGGTATAGCATGTGGAACGGGATGGCGCTGATTGAAAACTAGCGTAGAAAACTCTGAAGGCACCAGTTCCAAGGCTAACGGCCTCTCTTTGTCTTTCAGCATCTGAAGGCCTCGACGGCTCAGGATGGGGAACCACGCAGGGAAGCGAGACTTAGGTGCCGAGAAGGGAAATAAGGTAAGAAGTGAGCCGGCTCAAAAATCCTGCAAACGCACAGACCCTCCTCAGGTTCCCTGTGGCTACCAGGGTTTCCGCTAAAACAATTGGCTTCTTATCCTCCTACCTTAGAAACTTCTAGGGCTTAGAATGCTAGTCCAGGACCCGAATTCCTCGGCCAGGACTCCAGGCCCACTACGGTCTCACTGTGACTGGCCTTGCCAGTGCCGTCGGCCCGACATCCCTGCCCCCACCCTCATCACAGGGAGCTTGGAAGACACAGGAGAGCAAACGGGAAAAACGCAAATAAGAGTCATCCAGATCCCTCCAGTGACCCAGAACGAATCTTCCGGGTGTTTCTAGCCTCGCATTCGCCCCTTTCCGCCTCATTCCACGGACGTCAGCTTCCCCTGTGCGATGATAATTCTCTGCATCACCTTTGATTCCCCCAGAGTGACTGGGAAAGTGGTTCTCAGCCTGTTTCCCCCTGAGCCGCTCAAACCGATGGCCCGTCACCAGGGCACCTGCTGGCCTCATTCTCTGCCCACCGAAGAATCATTTCAGATTACGAGGCAATAGGCCTGATGTTGTGCGCAGAACTGTGAATCCACCCTAATTTGTAGGGGGGAAAAGTTAATTATTCCAGTTCTTTGGTCCTTTAACTCAAGACAAATGACAGTTCATCAGAATGTCACAGTGCTGAGGATGGACCTCCACCAGCCCACACGCACGCAGAAGTGCTTCATAAATGTCCACCGGGTTGAATGACATTACATTTGAGCCCCAGGACCTCTTTGCTGAGCGTCTGTGCTGTGGGTTTTATTTAATAATAATGAACTTTGCAGCCCTGAGCCCTTCTCTGATCTGTACTTAGACTCAATTTCCATATCAACCAGGTGGGTAATTTTCCATAATTTGCTTTCAAGCCATTCATGTAAATCAGTGATTACATACTGTTTTTGTTCATATCTTATCTTACAAAGTGTTTTGAGAAAACATTGTTTTATCTAAAACAATGTTACGGAGTTTCTTTCCTAATGATGTCAGGCCCAAGGTCAACTAGAAGGGGTTTACCTTTTTATAATGTTATTATTGATTTGGAATTCTCTCATTGTTGAAAGGAGGACCAATTTTCTAAGTGTGTAAAGTGTTCTAGTGAATGCTGAATGGGGAATCACGCAGTGTTTTCTACAACTTGAGCGTGAACTGTATTACTGGTAATCTCCCCGTGAAGATACTAGTAACTCTGAGCTGTGAATGTGTTCAGTTACTCTAAAGACCGTGGGTCTGGTGGCATCTGCACCAGGAGGATGGAGTCTCAGCTGAGAGTGAAAGTGGAGAAACAGCTCTTCTCAGAGAGCCCCATCCTGTTAGCACGTGGTATTTTAAGGCACTGCTGATTTAAGTGACTGATTGGCGAGTCTGCTTCTGTAAACCTCTCTGTGGCTTGCAGTGTCTTTCTTGTTGTTGGACGTTATAAAGCACCAAAACGTAGTTCTCACTGGTTTACTTTTACCAACGTCAGATTCCTGAGCGGTGGTACAGCCACAGTGACGCTTCTGTTTTCTGCAAGCTAATTTTTAACATTCTGCTGATGTTTCTTTGAAATTGGGCGTTTAAGACCGCTGGTTCCTTTAGGGAGTTGTTACAAGTAACAGTTGTCTTCTTTTAATTGTTTGTCACGTGACAGAAAATATCTGAGGCCTTGTGGAGGGAGTGCTCTGGGGCAGCGGTCCGCAACCTTTTTAGCCCCAGGGACCGGTTTCATGGAAGACAATTTTTCCACGGAGGCGGGTGGGGGAATGGGGGGGTTCAGGCGGTGATGCGAGCGAAGGGGAGGCGCAGATGAAGCTTCGCTCGCTCTCTGCCGCTCGCCTGCTGCTGTACGGCCGGTTCCTAACAGGCTGCGCAAACAGGTACCGGTCTGCGGCCCCGGGGGGTTGGGGGCCCCTGCCCTGTGGTGTTACGTGGAGTGTCAGCTGAAACCAGAATAGAGAAAAACCACATGAGCTCGTGCCCTGCAGTTTCACATCTGCACGTTTCTGTGGTCATTCTGGGAAGCTTGTTCTTCACTTACGAGGGAGTGGACAGAAAGCGTTTGCCTGTGTCCGGGGGCTGACTGCTGACCTGCTAACAGGCGGGGGGCTGCAGGGACCAGTCACCCCACTCATCTCCCCAGCTCTGCCTCTTTGCGGCTCCCCCCGTACCGCACAGGGGGCCCAGAGCCCTCCTCTGCTCTCCACTCGCGTCCCCCATCAGCCCCGTGTCCTCACGCCCGCGCCTGCTGCCTTCCTGGAACCCGCTGGCCTGCGGAGGACGTTAGGAGGCAGTGGCCCTGTGTCGTGACCCCCTGCTCTGCCGCCCTCTCCCCCACCCCCCACCCCACCCCCGCGCTCGGCCCAGCTGGGGAGGGAGCTGCGGTGGCCAGGAGCGCACAGCCGCCTGCTGCCAGGTTCCTCCCCATGGCGCCCCACTGCTCTCTCACTGGCTTCTCTCTCCTCCCGAAGAAGGCGTGTCACGATGTAGGAAGGAGCCTGTGATGGAAGGGACAGCTCTGGCATTTCTCTGTTCCTGTTCCAGCCTTGCGTGTTAATGTGGAAACAGACGCACGTCCAGGCAGTGATGCAGCTGCGAGCGCGACCTCGGGGCCCCGTCAGAGAGCAGAGTGTGCGTGGTGGAGGTCAGGGAGGCCCCATCCACAAGGGGAACCAGGGGCATTCAGGGAAGCCCTCCTTCTCAGACATAAAGAAATCCCTGCTGGCCTCCGATTCCCCGTTTTTCTGAGCATCCTGGTGGATTTGGTTTCCAGGAAGCCCCGCTCACTAACTTACCAGCTCCTCGTCAGGCAGTGCGTTTTCACAGTGGTCCTTTGGCAGAACCGGGGAAGGACACGTACCAGCTGCCACGTCCCCGGGACACATGGTTCTCAAAGAGCCCCCGCCCTTGGGCAGGCTGTGCCCGGGCAGCCCTGGGAGTCCGGGGACCCTGCACAGGTGGATGACACGCTTGGCCCCTCTGGCTCCTGGAGGGGAGGGTTCGTTTCCAGGTCTGCACAGGAGTGAAGCTGGAGCACTTCTTCCGCAGGAGAACCAGCTGGGCCTTAGGACGGTGCCCACACCCTTTACTGAGGCTGTGCTGGGCTTCTGTCTCGTTCGGCGTTGCTCTGACTGTTGTCAGTCTCTGACCTGTGGGTTTGCTCGTTGGGGTTTTCTGGTGATTCTCTTTTGGACACACCAGCTGCTATTAGCGCCTGCCGTGCTCCAGGCATCCGCGCCGTGGCTGTGTGGTTGCCCGGGCTGCTGTGACAAAGCAGCGCACACCCAGGGGCTGAACGACAGACGTGTATTCGCTCTCTGTCCTGGAGGCTGGAATCTGAGATCCAGGTGTCGGCAGGGCTGGGTCCTCCTGAGGCCTCGCTCCTTGGTGTGTAGACGGCCGTCTTCTCCCTGTGTCTTCAAGCGGTCGTCCCTCTGTGTGTGTCTGTGTCCTGATCTCCTCTTATAAGGACACCAGTCCTATAGGATTAGGGCCCATCCTCGTGACCTCATTTTACCTTAATCAACTCTGTGAAGACCCCACCCTCAAATGCAGCCGTATTCCACGTTCCTGGAGGGCTAGGACTTCTTACACGTGGCTCCTTGGGGAACACGCGTCAGTCCACAATGTCCGTGTTATTTGATGCAGGCGAGAAGTGCCTGGGAGGTTTGAGAGGCCAGAGAGAGGAGTGTCCCCAGCCCTGCCTGGTGATTGCCACCAGAGTCTGACCCTCACCCTCAGTGGGCACTGCCGTTGCCCTGGCCTCTCCCCATCATGAGATTTCGGCATTCGCTTCTGTCCTGTTAACGCCTCCCTCGCAGACCCCTTAACCTTCCAGGCCCCAGATCCATAAGCCAACACCCCCGCTGCCCCTAGGACGTGGGGCTTGTCCAGAACCTTCCATGCCTGTCTGTTGCCCGTGACCATCTGTCCACATGGCACAGCGGCCTTGAGGTTGTGTCCTCCATGTGCTGCCCTCGTGCGTTCAGCCCTTCTCCACGCTCTGACCCTCTGAGTATCATCTTCATTTTACCCATGATGGACTCTCAGAGTGGCCTGCAAGCTTGGCCCAAGGCCAGGTGGGGCGCGAACGCAGGAGCTGGGCTGTGGGGCGGCTCTCTGTCCCTCTAGGTCGGCACCAGGCAGCAGAAGTGGAAGGAGAGCCGCAGGTGGACGTTTAAATGTTCTAGTAGCCACAAAAAAAAGTAAAGAGACAGGAAGAAATTCACGTTAACATCTTTTCTTTAGCTTAATGTACTCCAGGTGTCATGGCAGCGTGTGGCAGCTATCAGTGGCGTATTTTGCGGCTCCTTCCGTCTCGGTGAGTCTTCAGACTCGGGGACGTATTTAGCTGACATCCCAGCGTGGCCTGTCCGCTCTTCTGGCACTCAGTGGCCACAGGTGGCTGCCAGCTCCAGACCGGACGGCAGCCTCCACAGCCAGGCCCATCCCTGTGGGCCCTGCTGCCTCGCCAGGCAGTGTCCCGGACACCTTCATGGTGTCCTCCATCCAGTTCACGCCCCCCGCCCTGCCCACCGTGCATCTCATCCGTTGCCTGATGAAGAGGAAAGAGAAATTGTGAATGACCAGTATTGTCCGTTGAGAGATGATGATGGGTCTGATTTTGCCCTCGGAGGGAGAGAGCTGGGGTTGAAGAGGAGAAGCCGGAGGGGGAGGGAGGGGCTGGGGAGGGGTGTGGATGAATGGCTGCCCTCTGTCCCCTGGCTGGACCAGTAACCGCAGAGCAAGGGCAGTGATGAGTGAAAGTCCGGCGCAGAGGAGAAAGCAGGAGCGTCCTTTTTAAATCTGCCCAAATCCAGAGACCGTTTAGGGCATCGGGAGTGCCTCTGGTCTCGTGGCTTCGTCTGCCCTCCCCTGAATCACCCCTAAGCCTCTGGGGCAGCTTGAAGGGTCCGACCTGGGATCAGCCCCGGACTCCGCACCAGGTGCGTCGTGGTGCTGCCACAGACACGTGAGGACACTTG